GGTGACGGTGAGTACTGCTTTCAACCAACCGATCCTTCATGTGATGACTCTGTTTACCAGCCGGTCTCTTGCCAGTGTGCTCCATCTGTGAGGATGTCTGTGATGATCTGACGAGCTGTCGAACCTCAAAGTGGGGCTCCTATTGTAAGAGTTGGCAGAATCCTCCTGTTTGCTTCGGTATTCTCCAAAAGGCCGATGGCAGTCTGTGTTTCGAGAGCACAGAGCCTGAGTGTGCTGGCACTCCTTACCCCTGCCCTAGTCTGTAGTCACCATTGCCAACGAGCAATCCCTTCTGATTTGTATGACATATCTCCTGATATGCATTGCAATACTGACATTCGTAAGTCCTCTATTGAGTTATCGATCTCTATTATTCTGTTATGGCATTCGCTGTGTTTTGTTATAACTATAGGGTGTGTCCTGCAATATTCGGGAAGGATGAAGAGTACCGATTCTCAGGGGGAGGGGCAGGGGTGTAATTTCTCCTGAGGAGATTCTCCTCGCAGCTCTCCCGTTTCGGTGTGTGACAACAAGCGACTGCGCGGAGGAACCTCCGCGTGCGCACGTAATGTGGACCTGTGGTACTGCAGACCATAGGAACTCTTGCTTTCTTGTCCGCTTGACATTCCTTAAACTAGACCTTTGTTGGCTCGCCTATCGATTAGTTAATCTATTCGACGTCACGTCACCTTCTGTGTGTCACGACTTTGGATTTGCTAACTACTTGTTTTGGGCTAGTTCGGTTCCCCATCCGAACTTTGCTAACTAAGAGCTGTATTAAGTCGACCTTTGACCCAAGGCAGCCCTTGCGTTCACAGTCTACTGAAGAACCAGCAAACGATCTTGGTCACTTGTAGTTCCTGCAACCTCGCGAACTACAGTAAGAGCGTATGCGTGCATCGTCCCCCATATGCTGTCACTCTCTCACTGATTATTGTCCACTGCAGGGAGAAAGTGAGGTCAGCGGGGCTGGCCGTCGGCCCTATTGCCGAACAGGGTGACTCGTCGGTGAGGCCAATGTTGATGTCGTCGGTCCACGTCAGCCGAATCCGTGTGGGTCTTGAGCCCCGCTTGTCCTTCACCAGACGCTTTTCCGCGCAAGGAACCCCCATCGGAGTCGCCGGCAAGCAGCAATGATAACAAAAGCAATGCTGCCGATCCCAGCTTAAGTTAAGTTAAGTTAAGTTTACCAAGGATGGTGCGCCATATTGGCGGCTAGTGCGGCTTGAAAGATTTTTTCCATACTCACAACTTCATCTGGCTTGATATCTAATGCGTCTTAGCGGTAGTTTCAGTAGCGAACCTCCGCGTTGTTAGCTCTCTGTCGTCGCTGCGAAAGATGTTGCAACGTTAGTTTGCGGTATCCAGGCATTGTGAACGCATTAATCGTACAATTCGTCAGCCTCTTCAAGAGGACCTCTTAGCATTGCGTCCACCAAGAAGCTACACTCGGTTTGGTAGTTCGAGCTTTAGTTTTGTGTCCTCACGGCTTCAGCCGGTCCGCCCCCAACTTCATCACCAGTGTGTGTTTGCTACGTATATGTTGCCCGAGAACTGTACCGTGAATGAAGAACCGGCTGCCCAGGCCATTACGTAAGACTGCTTTACCCCTTGGCGAATATACCGGGAGTATCCTCAGGCCTCCTGAGTCCAACATCAAGAAGCCTCAAACTCCTGTTAAAACGCGACGAATAGGATTGATCTCGGTCATTGCGATTGCCTACTTCAACGTTTCCGGCGGTGGAAAGCCTCCCTACCTTCAACGGTTGATGGTCCGCTGTATCAGGTCCTTTCGGTTCTGAGGATATCTTCTCAACAGGGGGCCCTTTGTTGGGCATCATAGGTATCTTTGCTGCGCTCATTTTATGGTATGCCATTAGTAATCACGACTACCCCATTGAGATGACCTCAGGTCTCTGCCTATGTCTTTCATGACGGCAGAATTGTCTAGTACTTTCCCAAGCAATGGTGGCTACTCTTTATGGGTGAGCACAACATGATTTGTCAAAATCGTTCGGACGAAGCGCTTGCCATTCTGCCGAATATCATAATCACTATGACGGTGTAGGTGAAGGTCGCCCTCGGCAATTTTTGGGCCTTCCAACAGATGTATTGGTCGTGGATCGCTGCAGCAGTAGACGCCTCAGTCTATCCTGTGAGAAGATCTTATGTTGAGCTACGAATATACTGTTTCCACTAGGTCCTCATATACGATACAATAGCTCATTTGACTCCAACTACTCTTGGTGCACTCCCCTGGTTCACTGCATGGCCGATCAAGGTGGCGATCAGTGCCGTCCTGACAGTTCCCATGCTCTTCCCCGTGGAGACAACAGGCTTTGGTGATGCCGATTCGCTATAGTTGATGAACCATCGATGATGTTGGTGGCCTGAAACCCCACAAATGTGGTTGTAGCTTATATGTTCTTTACTACCCTAGGATGATGCCTATGGTGTTGACTTACTGCTCTCAGGTATGCTGGCGATGACTATCTTCATCCTCTTCCCCTTCGTTATTGTTGTTATTTGGGGTCTCTTCAAGGTACTGCCTCCATCTAGCAGTGGTGGTATACTTATGTTAGGCGGACCTGTCAGTGCTGGGGCAGACTCGACCGCTGAGAGAGATCGATTGGATCAACTGGGCAGTGGTGTGTTTCTGGAGGATGACGGGAGTACCTTTTCGTGGCGTCATCGTCCCTCCAGTTGATTACTGTCTTCAGATGAACGCTGTATCGACTGTTGCGGGAGAAGTCAAACAGCCTGGGCGGACAGTCATCAGGGCTTGTCTATGGTGTATGGTCATTGTTACAATACAACACATCGCCGTGCTTGGCGTATCTGCCGGGCTCGGGGATGTGAATTGGAAGGTTCGTTCCCGTATGCCACGAGCTCCTTTCATACAGTCCTCCTTAGGACTGGAGTGATGGCTTTCTTGCTGTCATCATCAAAGATGCCTTTGGTCCAGTGATGGGTTGGTGGATAGTGATCGTGGCAATAGTTGCTAGTGCTGGCCAATACATGGCGGACATACTCGAGGCCAGTTATCTGTTATTCGGTGAGGAACATCAGCTCGGTCAGAATCAGAAACTCCAGGCATCATCTCTTCATCAGGCATGTCGCGGTATGGATTGTCTCCAGCTTGGCTCGGTAAAGTCCACAGTCGATTCGAGACTCCGTGGAATGGCATCTTCTTCCAACTCTTCATCGTATCATGCCTGGTGACTTTAACATCAGAACCATCCAACATTTACCTCAGATTGCCTTGGCAGGTTGCAGCGGACTTCAGTGCGATTCTGGCCATCAACTCCTTTGTAGCTGTTCTTGCAGCCCTGCTCCAGTTCGTTTCCTTCCTCGTTCTGAGGCGGTCTCGACCAGAATTGGTAAGCCTTCGGTTCCACAACTCCCGCTAGTATATCTCTCTTTAGAACCGACCTTTCAAAGTGCCAGTAGCGTCCTTCTGGCTGATCTGCGTCCTCACACTACCCACCCTAGCCTACGGTTGTTTGGTCGTCGTTGTCACATTGATGAATGGATGGTTGCCTCTCACACTCAATTCTACAATTTTCACCATCGGACTTGTATTCGGATACGTTTCTCTCTGGCACGCTAACAAGCGAGGGCGTTTACAAGATTGGGAGGAAGAGGCCGATTATGGGGATGACGAAGTCCAGACACGTTCGAGTTGATACCGGTCTTTGGCTGGTATGCAATTCCCCTCTTGACACACTCCGTTGTTGCTGCGATTTTGCTTATCGCTTATGACGTGTACATAGTTGTTTACCAACATATTGTAGGATGACGCTTTCTTGACATTTTTTTTACGGATAGCAAGCCACTTACCCCCCGGTCAGCAGCAGTGGGGGCCTCAGTTACGTTTCATCGCCTATTGGTCTCGTTCTCGTTACTTGTAGATGGGCGTCAATGGCTGGTCTCGATTCAGGCTGTCGGGACGCGTCGGTGTCTGCGTTCAAGTCCTCGAGCTGCAGCTGCCGGACTAGCATACTATGACGACGTCATGGCGTGATAGATTGTCATTGACAGTCAAGTCCAGACCGAGGCAAGCGAGACCTCTTCAGCTGACATCCAAGCTCGAGGACGAACATACAGGACACGAGAGAATCAACCGCAAGAATTTCATTATAGTTAAATGAGACCGGAGAGGGGGATGTGGGGGTCCTCGAAGGAGACATAAGCACGCAGATAACGAGAACTTGATATCAATGACTATTCAAGGGGTCCGATAAGCAAAGCGGATCATAGCCGATACCACCCCACAGGGGATAGAACGTATGATGGGTATCGCCAATCTGATGGCTGTCTTCGGGGAACTCTGCAAGTAGCTGACCGGCACTCAAGACAGTCATCAGACAGACCAGGTGCTCGAGGAACGGATGCCTACATTCGACGAGGATCGCGCCATCCAAAACCAAAGGCCAGTTCTGTTCGACGTCTCGCACACACAAGGAGTCCGCTGCGTGTCCACAACTTTCCGACAGTTCAGACCCTCATAAAGGCATTCTTCAGATCTCCATTAGATCTGATTCAATTATGACTGGGGACGCGGCCTTGATCATCTCCTAAGACCTCCCCGAGCTAGAACATGCTCAGTCAATGCAGCTGAGGAAGCAATAGTAAGGACACTCAAGCTGGCACACATGACCGCCTCGGAGAGCGTTCAACCCGTACCTGTATCTATCTCTATTGAAAGCCAGAGACAAGGAACCACTCGCAAGTCACAGCAAATGAATCCTATTGATCGTTCTGCGTAACTAAAGGCGTATAACTGACGTCACTAAGGAGCACACCCATCAGGGAGTAAGACCAACTGAGTAACGCGATCAAATGACGATGAACGAGAAGAGACCGCAAGAGAATGGTCATTGGTCTATCTAGTGGAGTTGATCATGACGGGAGGAGATCCTCAACAAGAGCAACTTTGACTGGACCTTCTTCGACGGTCTTACGAGAGTTCATAACAACACGAATATATGCATGAGCTCACGAGAATCGAGATCAGACATAACGCCAACTGCTACACTACACTGCCAACTTCGTAAAAGACTACTCAAGTGAAGGAGACGAACTATATTGTGTACCCTACGATATCAAATGGCCGAATACGACACTTCCAGCGAATTGACCACGGGTGTTAAAACACGATAGACTCAGACAACACAACACTGCGATGTTCCCAAACACTTATATCGTCTGCTGTAGGGAAACCAATAACGGGCCAAATGAAGTAATAGCGGCTGGAACGGGAACGATAACTGCAATGCGTCATCGATCCAGCAACAACGACTAAGACATTTATCGGAACCTCTTGAGCTGGAGAGTCTGGCGTCTCTTCCAGTTGGCGCGCTTCGAGGGGCGAACCTTGGTACCGAAGTGGGAACCGCGCTTGTGGAGACCACGGCTCTTACGACCAGCACTGGTGAGACCACGGAGCTCACGGTGCTTCATGGTAGAGTGAGCGATCCAGTTCATGCGAGGGTCGTTACGGATGGCGTTGTGGAAGGGATCGACCATGATGACCTCGAAGAACTTGAACTGGGCGTCCTGACCAACCCAGTAGGAGTTGAGGACACGGAGAGAACCACAGCGGCGACCAACACGCTCCTCGGCAATAGCGCGAAGAGACTTGGTAGACTTCTGCTTGTTGACACCCTGATGGACGGGCTTACCGTAGACGATACCCTTGGAGACGCGCTTCTTACGGTCACCCCTGCGGATGCGGACACGGTAGATAACAACGCCCTGCTTGGCCTTGTAGCCGAGACGACGGGCCTTGTCAGGGCGAGTGGCCTTGGAGGCACGGTGGACAGCAGGTAGCTGACGGAACTCCCAGTTCCTGACGCGAATCAAGAAGCGCATCACGTCAGATTGCTTCTTGTTCCAGATCTCAGAAAGGTACTTGTAGGCTCCCATTATAGCAGATTGAGTTGGGTGACTTAGTCCAAGGGAAATAACAGCCAATGAACTACGCAAATCGATCAAACGCACTAGCGATAATTTCGTGGCGCGTGACGCAAAATTCCATCAGAAATCTTCTTGTGTCGGG